TCTCCATAGTCGGCTTCGCTCTCCCCTCTCCCCTGCCTTAGCCACTCGCTTTTGAGTCAAGCCGATTAATGCCGAGGATAGGTGCAGTCGTTAACGAAGCTAACTAGCGTGTTTGCACATGCAACACATACAGCCAAGCTGCAGTAAAGGACATGTTTTTCACGTAAGTGAGATGTGTATATTTTCTCACGCTATATTGAAAGCTGTAACCTCATACTTTTTATAATGAGTTCTGCGTGTTGTGGTGTTAGTGTTTGCCGTTTACACACGTGTGATTGGGTAGCATTATGCGTAGCCGAGGCGAGGTGAGCTTCTTTGTGCAGGTAAAACGAAGGGGTTTTGTGGGGGCCGGACCTCGTGTGGGCTATTTTGTTGGAGGTTTGCGTGCATTTGCTTATTACCAAAAGGATCTACGCCGTATCCTAAAGCCCTGGCGGAATACAGGCTGATGAGGGGCGTATATGACAGGTCTATGTCAGAATCTCGGGCACTGGTTTGCCGACTGCCGGACGCTCTATACACAGGCGTCCGACTAAACCCATGTGTAATTCAAGTGTATACGCAATAGATAAATTGTTAATGAGGGGAGTGCTTGAGGGCGTTATTTAGCATTGTGTCCATCGATAATGACAGTGGTAGAGGCTGTATTTCTTTCCGAAATGGGAGTAGGGTTGGTGTTGTTGTTGTTATTAACGAGACCAATCCATGTTCTGTGTGTCTGTTGACAATGTGTTCACGGTAGCAGTCGTTGGGTGCTTGCTTCGTTGGTTTGCAACACCTAGGTCGTGCGAGCTGCTCTTGGTCTTTGTCGCCACCATTCTTTTGGCCTCGGAGATGACTGTTCCGGGCGCGCCGATCCTGTGCGAGACATGTGCTTGAGTGAGGTCTTCAGGGTGTGTATATGTATTTATTGACCTTGTCAGCGAGCACCCGTTCGACGCTGTCAAGCATAATCAATTACACAGACGCCCATCACCCCTCCTCCTCGCATCGCATTTGCATCTGCCGTGACACGTTGGGTAGCTACAAAGTAGTCAGGACTACCAGAGGCTGTATTTGAAACCCTTGCCTTGCATTTTATCACAGTTCACAAAACTAAGTAGAATGCTTTGTTTGACTGGGTGGAACAAGGAGAGAGAGATAGACGACGAGATAGAGATAGACGAGAGATAGTCTATCTCTCGTCTATCTCTCTCTCCTTTCAGCCCACGGACGCCAACTGGCAACGGAACATGGGTAGTGCCTTTCAGTCGATGGCTGATTGGTTACCCCTCTCAGGAGGATGTTGGCCCAGGCTTCATGCAGGGCTGCTCTCACCCTTCTGAGATTGAATGG